AAAAAAAAATAAGAGCCCCCCCCCCCCCCCCCCCCCCCCCCCCCCCCCCCCCCCCCCCCGGAGACCACATTATGTCGCTTTAAATCATAGAAACAATATTTTTCACACAATTAAAAACTCTTATTCTGAAAGACAAATTATTTCCACACATGTTTATTCCTGTTTGTGTGCCCATGCTGACAAACAAACAAGACAAACAAGCTGTGTGTCACTGTTGTTATGGGTACGCCTGCTAACTCATGGAACAGCCGGCATTCGTCGTTCTGATTGGCTGTCGCAGTCAAAGGGGCGGGCACATGGCAGGAAACTTAAGCGGCGATTGGCTGACGCTGTTTCCGTACACTTACAGGAGAAGGCTGAGTTGCAGAGTCGTTGCACAGTTTGGGAAAATCCTCTTTGGGACCTATAAACATATTCCTGTCATATTTTGTTCACATCACCTGACAATAAAAGGTAAGTTTAATATGTTATGCCCTCGCGCGGTGATGTAATGTCTTTTCTCACATATTTTCACAGACATATAAAACTGTGAACTTGAACTTGCTAGTCGAGTAAAGAAAACGACCATTTTAAAAGCATTAAATGTCAGTTTTACGTCGCTGTCTGTCACGTAAATATCCGCTAAACCGAGCAGCAGATATTTTAATCCAAATTCAACTTCTTTAAAGTGGTTTACTGTATCCGTCACCGTCCACTACCTCTAACCTGACACGTTAGCTAGTCACTGCCAAGCTGCCCCAAATGTTGTCAGTTAACTTAATGTGATGCAGCAGGTGAACAAAATCTCCGCCGAATTCACTACTGTAAAATAAGCATTCAGATAAAGTGTTGGGTGTGACGCTGTGACGCAGCAGTTTATGACAGTCTAGAAGAAAAGCTACAAAAGTCACATTTCCGGACGGACTTTGGTTTCACGAGACAAGCAAGAAAAGGTGAGTTCACGAGACGATTCCTGCTGTGGGACATTTGTACACTGACGCAGCAGAGGCGGTGATGGCAGTCAGGGAAATGAAACCTATGTACCTCTCTCATCCTGCACTCACCTGTGTCAGCTTGTTTTGGAAATGACTTCATAAGGATTAATTTTCTGCGCAAATATTCACTGATAAACGATGCAAAACTGACACAATGTCAAACTATGTCTCAATTTCTGGCATTTTGATATGGAGATAGATTTATGTCAGTGTTATTTGTGGGAGAATATCTACAATCTGTGTGTAAATATATAATCTTTAAGTATATAATATTATGCAAAAGTGCAACTTGTAAAATTAAAGCATCATCTGCTAGTACAAAAAGTATTTGTAAGCTCAAAAATTAAATAAATAAAGTTGCAATTAAAAACAGATCTGCAAACGCTTGAAATATGGAGATAGATTTGTGTCGGTATAATTAGTGTGAGAAAATCAACAATCTTTGTGTAAATGTGTAATCTATTAATATAAAATAACTTCCACAAACACACAAAAAATCGTAAAGTCAAAAAAGAATCGTAAGTGTGTAATTTATTAACATAAAATAACTTCCACAAATACAAAAAAAATTGTAAAGTAAAAAAAATCGTAAATGTGTAATTTATTAATATAAAATAACTTCCACAAACACAAAAAAATCATAAATGTGTAATTTATTAATATAAAATATCCTCCACAAACACAAAATATTTGTAAAGTAAAAAAAAATCATAAATGTGTAATTTATTAATATAAAATAACTTCCACAAACACAAAAAATCATAAATGTGTAATTTATTAATATAAAATAACTTCCGCAAACACAAAAAATCATAAGTGTGTCATTTATTAATATAAAATTACTTCCACAAATACAAAAAAGGTTTGCAAACTAAAAAAAATATTTTGCAAATATAAAACAAATCTGCACATACACAAATTCCACAAAAAAACAAATAAAACAAATAAAAAACACTTGTAAAAAATGTAAATACGCAAACGTAGAATTGAGATTCACAATTAAAAACTGGATTCGCAAATATTCTTTTGAAAGTCGTAAATGTGAGAAAGATATTCACCTATGCTTTTTATTTATTTATTTGTAAATGAATTAAAAATTTAAAAAAAATGTTAAGTTTTGGAATTTATCTATGTGCAGCTGCGTTATATATTCGCAAAAATATATATTTGTGAAAAGTGTTTTTAATTTACGGGTTGTCGACCGATTTCACACGAATATTACCGAGACAAATTTATCGCCATAATCTGACCAAAATTTATTTTGTTTTTTTAAATTATTTATTTATTGTTTAATAATGTTGACTCATTCAGCTAACTCTGTTGCCTCAAATACATTTATTTTCTCTACGCTCATTTACTGTTGTTTTATTAACTTCTTTTCCTTACATATGTATTTATATTTTATTTATTGTAAATATACAAATTTAACATTTTTGTTAAAGAACTTACCTTTGCCAGCTTATAATGAAAATCAATATGGTAATATTGACTTCAAGAAATAGAAATATAAGGTCTGATGCAGCTGTAACTTTCAGTACAATAGTTATCATCTTTGGAAATGCAAGAACAAGTGGAAATCAGCTGCTTCATGATTGTCTTGGGGGCTGATGGTGAGTGGAGCAAATCCACCAGCCACCTGCACACGTTTCCAACATCTGGCTGATGAATGGAGCTGATTTTGTTCCCTGGAATCACTTGACTTTCGTTTTTTTTTTTCTCAAATTTCCTATGAAAAGAGCAGTGAACGCATCTTGAAACTGAAAGAGGAAACACAGCACATAATTATCCAGTCAGCATCTCTGACTTCCGATGTTCAGTGCCAAACACTGATTTCTTTCCAGATGTAGAGCTCCCTGACCTTTGACCTCTGTGCACCCTGAGGGGCGGAGCGTGGAAAAGAGATTAGCTTATCGAATCACTGCATATTTCTCATGTTTTGAAGGAATTACAAGTTCTTAAGGGATCAGATGAAACTTAATTGATTCCTGTGGGAGGCTGCAGAGCAAACATTGACACAACACAACAGAAATATAATAGTTATAACATTATTTATACAGCACCTTTTTAAAAACAGGGTTTACAGAGTGCTTTGTGAAGCAGAGCAAATAAAATAAAAATACCAAAAACAGCAAAAGCAATAAAACAACAAAAACAAAAGTAAAGTACAACATCACATAAAAGCAAATGTATAACAATAACTCGAATGACAAATAACTCAAAAAGTCTATTTAATTCTTTAATTCTAAAATAATGCCTTAATATGTATTAATATGTCTTAAATCAGTCTTTTAAAAGTCTTAAAAATGCTAAGACATGGGAGGTAGGATAAAGTCTCAAAATATTTAGACATGACTGTTTTTTATTGGAAATAATTTACTGCATTCCCCCCACACTTTTGATTATTGTAAAATTTGACATATTTAATTCCGAGTGGCGTTTAAAGAAAAACTTAAAAAAAAAAAACTTTACGTGTCTTAAGAAGTCTTTAAAAAAATCTGAAATCTAAATTTAAGGTCTCAAAAAAATATTTAATTTCATAAAAAAACTTTAAATGCCTTTTATAGTCTTAAAAAATCTAAAGTCTAAATTTAAAGTCTGTAAAACAATTTAAAAGTCTTAAAAAAATCTTTAAATGTCCTAAAAAAATATCTGAAGTTAAAGTCTAAAGAAATATTTAAAAATAATAAAAAAAAAATTTGAATGTCCTAAAAAATATCTTAAGTCTAAATTTAAAGTCTCAAAAAATATTTTAAAGTCTTAAAACAATCTTTAAATGTCTTAAGAAATATCAAAAGTCTAAATTTAAAGATTCAGAAAAATATTTAAAAGTCTTAAAAAAAAAAATCTTTAAATGTTTTTATAGTAATGAGTTTTCATAGTTTGGTAAAAACCCAAATCGCCCTTTTTCAGAGCCTAATTGATAAATCTGTGATAAGGGTCCATATTTAAGAGATCCTTTTAAAAAATGTTCATTTATGTTTTGTGTCTATATGGTTGAAAATCAAAGATCAGATCATTGTCAGATTTTCTTAGTGCAGCATGAGCGAGGCTCCAGTTTCAACCTTGAACTACACTTTAAACTGGAACTCATGAAGCTGCTCTCGTTCACCAGAAGATGGCGCAGTGGTGCCAACTCCAGATGCTGGACTGCAAGTACCTGGAGCAGGTGGACCAGCTGTACGACGACTCGTTCCCCATGGACATCCGACAGTACCTGAGCAAGTGGATCGAGAGCATCGACTGGTGAGAGGACAGACACAGGGATGGGCCGATCAATTAAATAAATTGAAAAGTTTTGTATTTTCGACAATTGTTCGGACAAAAGAGACGTCTGAAGAGGTCGCAGATGTCGACTTTTCTGTGTTTGTATCTTTGAAAACTAAATACTTAATGGACTCTACATTTTATCGTCGGAACAACTAGACAATAGATTCATGAAAGTAGTAGCTCTATCGTCTTTGCTTCCTCAGGGACACGGTGGCGATACAGGACTCTCTGGCCACCGTTCGCTTCCACGACCTCCTGGCTCAGCTGGACGACCAACACAGCCGCTTCGCCCTGGAGAACAACTTCCTGCTGCAGCACAACATCCGCAAGATCAAGAGGAACCTGCAGGTACGAACGAAGCCAGCTGAACCGGAGGCGTTAATCTTTACTCAGTGTCTAAGTCGTAACTTAAACTCTGGGTGTCTCTGCAGGATCGGTTCCAGGAAGATCCGGTCCACATGGCCATGATCATCTCCAGGAACCTGAAGGAGGAACAGAAGATCCTCGCCACTGCCAAGAGCGTAGAGGTAGAACACACAAAATGCACATAGGCCCGTCTAGACCTTTTTATCGTCCAGTGTGTTTGAAGATAAGTCATAATCTCACTATTACTAAGTTAAAGTCATTTAAAAATCTGCTCACAGTGAGTCAGCAGAACGTGCAAAAAACAGGGAAGTCCGTCTACAGACAAGGAAACAATGTGGAGTTTCCTTGAATAAAGTCATGATGGGTAAACACTTATCTTATTTATCTTCATGTCTGCAGCAGGAGAGGGAGGGGACGGAGTCGGCGATGGTGGTGGAGAAACAGAAGCTGGACAACAAAGTGAAGGAGATGAAAGAAAGAGTGCAGGTGACATCATGTGACGTGTACAGACGAAACACGGTCGAGCAGAAGGAGTCAGGGTGGTTGAAATGTCTTCCCTGTTCGTCTTCTTCAGGTGGCGGATCAGAACATTAAGAACCTTGAAGATCTGCAGGACGAGTACGACTTCAAAGCCAACACGCTCAAGAGCAGAGGTGAGAATGTTTGTGTTGGAGGTGTTGTCAGGGCAACAGGAGGTCACAATGAGAGAACATTGTCGAAAACAAGACAACAGAACTTGCTAGCTAGAATCGTTTTGCCTCCAGCTAAGCCCCGCCCACCTAAAAATGTACACAGTAAAAGGGTCTATAGAAAGCGCTTGTTTGTGGAGCTGATGTTATTTGTGTTTGTGCAGAGAACGAAGTGAACGGCATGACAGCAAAGGAGCTGGAGAAAGAGAAGCTGGTGGTCGGGAGGATGTGCTTCGAACTGAAAGCCAAACGACAGGTGAGCAGACACAGACGTGTTGATCCCTGACACACATTAAACACACATTAAACACACATTAAACATGGCTTAATAGAGACAGTTTCAAACACAAGTTCACAAATCAGCTTCACTATAACTCGCAGCATTCACAGACAAACACTTGTCTTTATCTGGACACATTTTCCCCACAAATACAACATGCTAATGTTATTAGCACAAGCCTATGGCGTTTTACATTGTATAAATTAGCCTAGCAGCTAGTAAACTTTTCCTCTTGTCATATAAGTAAGTAAGTAAGTACATAATTCAGCTCCATTACAACTCACAAGGTTCACTGACAAAACAACTGTCTTATACTAAACACGTTTTCCAAACAAATACAACATGCTAACGTTATTAGCACAAGCCTATGGCATTTTACATTGTATAAATTAGCCTAGCAGCTAGCGGACTTTTCCTCTGCTCATATGAAGCCAGGATAAATCACACACATGAATTAAAATGTTATTTGTGTGGAGGCTTTATTGTCTTCACAATTTATTGTTTCTTATCTGTGAAATTAAAGTAAATCAGAGCGTTGTCTCCACTGAGGGAAATGGTTTCAGCTCCATAATCAGTGATTTTATCCTCATCAAACTCACGTCATTCAAAGTCAACAGAAACAAAATAAAACTCACTAAAGCCGTCCTGGTTCATGTTTCCACTGTTCCAACAGTCAGCAGCTCTGGAGTGGTTGATATTAACCCTTTCATCACCCATCTCTCTCTGTCTCTCTCTGTCAATTTCAATAAGCCTTATTGGCATGACTGTAGATTAACGATATTGCCAAAGACGTTAAAAATTTACAAATAAAGTACAATAATAAAAGTAAGTCAGAAAACTATAAAAAAAAAAAAA